GGGTGGGCTCGTTCTCCAGGAGGGCTAAAGACGAGAGAAAAGCACAAAGTTCAAAGGTCCATCGGCCGGCGGGTGAGAGGCGCGGGGAGGGGACGAAAGACCACTCACTCAAAAGGTCCGGGATGGCCTTGGCGGCGAGTTCCCTGCACTTGCGGAGGGTGGCCTTTTGGATGATGTTGACCTCCTTGCCCTCCTTGACCTGCGTCTGGTGGGTGACCGTGATTTTACCAAGTAAGAGGCGTTCCTGGATCAACATATTTTGTTGATCCTGGATCAACATTTAATCAACCAATCACAAGCCTCTGATGTCATCCGTGTGTGCCGACCCAAAAATCCATCACTCCATTTTGAATCTTCCCTCCCCACCTTCCTCGGCTGACCGACAAAAGGCAAGTTATTTTGTCTGTCCTCTTTCTTTCACCCTCTCCCTAACTAAAAATATACCTTTGTAAATGTATTTATTCACGAAAAAATCCTGAAATATTACACTTAAATGTAATGCAACTCTGAACATACAACTGCCATGTGCCGGTGAGCTAATAGCTTAGCTTGCTAATGTTCGTTCTCAACTCACGTTCAAGGTCATAGGCAGCGCAGCGTCTCTCTGTGCATCGCAAAAGCCCGTGTTGACAGTTTGTTAATATAAAGCGGGAGATTACCAGATACAGTATTTTGCTCGTGCCCTGTGGGTGTTGTAGCCTAGGCAACTGTATCACGTGCCGTTTGAACTGACGCGCTACTGCGATCTGTCACATTTAAAAGCGCCACAACGCTCCATATCAGGAGTAAACTTCTCTGTAGTCTGTCTGTGTCAGTGTACTCTTTTTCCGCGATTTTTCTCTGCGTCCAATCAGTAGTTAAGAGCCTGAACTTGCTTATAGTAATACAAAAAAATACAGCCCAGAAGAATGTCTAATTTAGCGTGAGATTTCTATGTTGAGCGTGAGACCGTGAGATTGAGGCTGAATGCGTGAGTGTCACGCCAGGTGCGTGAGAGTTGGCAACCCTGCCACACCTCTGGAATCGAGTGTTTCCACAGCCTCATTCTGAAGTTCTCACCTAAAAATGTGGTGTTCTCCTTCAAAGGAATGTTGTGCAGGTAAACAAGATAATGGATTATGCATTTAGTGCTGCTTACTAAATACACTAAAATTTTGTAACCTGTAAAAAAACATTTGTACCTTATTATAGTCAACTTAAGTCATGTTAGAGATCGTTTCATTATAATATTGATTAATGTATTTTCTCCCTTTCAGACTACAGCTTGCTGCGATGCATTATAATGAAAATGCAGGCAGATCACAGGCATCCACTGCAGCTGGTGATCTGCGATACTCAATAGTTTTCCCGAAATTCAAGCATGGAGAATTTACAGTGAGAGCTCTGAAGAGCAATCCTACCACAGGTAACTTATACTTGTCTGAGTTATCTCAGAAAAAAATATAATATATATTATAATAATTCTCTTTCTGAAGGCTACATTGACAAATTAATGGAGCTGCTGTTCCACCATGTGGTGGAAGACCCTCAGCCGTACCTGGACTTCTCTGGACAAATGGCTGTACCAGAAAAGCTGTGTGCTCAGTTTATTCGGCCCAACAAGGAGGAGGCAGTGAGCAGACACAGGTCAAGGTTCTTTAAGAACACATGAGGTTATACCCACTCTGACAGCTTGGACACACCTGTCTGTCATCTACAACATTCAAGAAAAAGCACTCTGAGATTTTACTTTGTTAAGGTTAAGAAAAAAAATATTTTTTCTTTTAAGAAATAGGAAATTTCTTGGTATTTCTTTCTTTCTTTCTGCTGTATCGAAAACGTTCCGAACCGTGACTTTAAAACCGAGGTACATACCGAACCGTGGTTTTTGTGTACCGTTACACCCCTAGTCATTACTCTATGCCCGATATACTAGCGTTATAGGCTAAACTGTTTTTAGAGATAAAACTATTTACATTCGATAATCATGAAAACAATTCTCAGATAACGGTTTATTTTTATTCTAAACTGTTTTAATTTTTCTTATTTATTTTGATTATTTTAATTCCCTCTATGTAAAGCACTTTGAATGACCATTGTGTATGAAATGTGCTATATAAATAAACTTGCCTTGCCTTGATGAATGAAACTGCAAACTATCTTCAGTATTATTTCTTTAATTATAATTCTGACTCCGGGTCTTCATATCTGGTTCTGGGTCTTTGACTGTATACCCCTTACATTACATATTCATTTTGAGTTTTTTTTTTTTTTGTGTGTGTGTGTGTGTGTAGTGTGTTACTCCAGTTAAAAATGCTTCTTTAGAATTCATTTTTTACTGTATATATATATATATATATATATATATAAATAATTCAATGCAGTGGGGGAAGGAAACCTCTGTATGGTCCTTCTTCAGGAAACTCTTCCCTGATCCGTGTCACAACGCAAGAAGGTATGACCACCCGAATGTGTTGGCCAAGGTACCCCCAACACCACCTAACGACATTACGATATGCAAGGTGTCTATAAGCGCTGAAAGACAGGTAGTGCACATGTATGTTGAAGTGGAGGATACATTGGTTTTTAATTAAGTATTCAATTTTTTATACATATATATATAAATATATATATATATATATATATACATTTATTTTTTTATATAAAATTTAACCTTTATTCCTGGAACTAACCTGTTTGTAACTGTCTCTTCCATCTCACCATATAACTGTACGTAAGTGCCATATACAGCTTGTAACACATATGGGTTCAGAGCTACAGGCTCAAAGCCTGGATGTGCCGTTACACAGCCCACTCCACCAATCTGGTCACACCTGTGTACTACCTACAACATGAGAATTGTTTATTACTACTTTGTTAGGATGATTTATTTACTATTTATGTGGAGGTTGTGTTTTTTTCCAGGGTTCGTACAAGGTCCTTAAAATGCTTGAACTTGAAATATATGACATTGAACTTAAAATATTGAAAGACAATATGTGAAATTAGTGTTTCATTTTATTGATAAAGCAAACCATAAATAATCAAGTATATGATACAGCTTACATAGCTATACCTTGGGTATTTCCCGACAACAGACATTCTCTACCAGGGACAGTGAGCTGCAGTGCCCACAGGTGCACCTGTTGAGACAGCATCATTTGTAATTGTAGAGGGAGACTTGCAATATATGTTTTTCACTTAATTATTAACACTACATCATACCTAAATGAATTGGTTTTAATTTTTTGATAGTTCCGTTAGCATTTGTAATGAGCATTAGCCTAATATAGCCCTAATGCTAATTTTTACCATTCAGACACTGGCCCCATTCCTGCTTCGGATGCCGATCGCGATGCGGGAGTTAAGACCGCAGTTTGAGCCAGCGGCTCGAATTGATATGGCTCCGGACCTGTGTCCACAGACAATTCACCCTCCTCCACTTCAGGTGAAGGTGGGGGAGAAAAGTCCTCGACTTCAAATGATCGCTCCGTGGCAAAGCTATAGCGTCCATGGAAAGCCAGAACACAGAAGACCTGACAGCTGCGTGAACACACTCGACGTGCCACAGAAATATGCGCATGCCATTTTCTGCATATTCAGAGGGAGGGGTTGATGCAAATGTGTCATACCATAACAGTACCAGTGACGTACCATAACCCAGCTGTAGTCCCAATCGAGTCGTTTTTGTAGGCAATTATACTTCCTGATTTTTAAAAGACGATATCTCTTCTTACATTGAACTTTCAGTGCTGCAACTTTGCAGATACTGTTCATGCACCAACAGCAACATTACACACTATTTAAAATGAAAAAAGTGAAATCGCAGTCAACCACCCCTTTCAAGACATAAATGGACTACTTGCACTGAGCTTCGTGACGCACTTCCGTTTGGAAACAATATATATCACTTATATCCAGTTATGTTTACTTTCAATGTACTGTGGTTGAACAAACACCACCTAAAAAGAGTGTCTGTAATAAGATTTTATATTTTGGACATTTTTATTGACAGAAGAAGGGATATTCTGATGTTTACCGTGTGCAGAATTTTCAAAACTCATCGGAACATGAAGTTTAAATCCAAACCAAGGCAATCCGAGAAAGCTGCGGCTGTTCAAAATACGCCATTATTTCACTGCAGCGTGCCAGTGTTCGTCTACACTAGTGACGGCGACGCTGAAATGTGAGAACAGATGAATAACATCAGTACGAAACACAAACATTTATTTATTTGGATTAAATATTGTGATCATTCAGTGTCATTTTTCAATGTCAATCGTTTTACTATTACATGTTCATGCCCAAAATGCTTAATTAATATTCAGAGAAGTTGACTCATTCTCCTCTAGCTGTGTGCGTTCTGATCGTAGGCACCTCGCGATCATTCATTCATTCAACTATTTTAAAAAGACAGGAATAAGCACCAATGTACTTTTTATTAGTCAAATTCCTTAAAAAAAAAATGTAAACTCAAGTATAGAATATGAGTAGGCTAAGAGAAAACTGTTGTTAATGAGAAGACAGAAGACTGCTGCAGGTTAGTGGATATATATATTTAGCCTATTTATTATTCAGAATGGAAGAGTTGGAAAGAAAATATATTTATAGGAACATTTCAGCAGGCTCGAGATAATTAATACAGAGATCATTATTCATTGTTTTAATCAATTGGCATCCATAAAACGTAGTGATAATCTGCATTCTCATGTATGGACGTGCGATGAACACTCTAACCGGAAACTCCCGGTATGTAATAAGTAAAACGCGGAAGTAGTTGTGCAAGTAGTCCATTGTTTACACATTTAGCTTACCAGGTCTGACATTCTTTGATCCCTGCCGACGGTAGAACCTGGCCCAGGCTTTGACCATAGCGTCCGGATAACGTCCACGGACACGGTGTACACTAAAAAGTAAATTAATCGTTTACCCAAGGTAAAATTATAGAAAAACTATTTCTTTCTAAACAAAATGTCCTTCTTATGCGTGGATTCTTAGAAATATAACATGCAAACTTCCAATTACCTCATTTTACACTTATATAAGCTATAAAAAATAAAATAAAAATAAAAAGAGTAGAAGCATACTTGTTGAGCCCAATGAAGCCATCTGTCTTGTTCGTCTCGTTTATTTTAAGGCTATTTATCTGCCTGTAGGAACATTAAAGATGTGTTGAATATTTACACACCACTCATTCAAATGCATAACATATTTGTTGAGATATGCCAGAGATCCTACTTAGAAATGATGATTTCATGGAGGATTTCACGAAACGTTTTCTGATGTTGACCGTTGACTCGATGACTTCCTTCTACAGGGATGATCTATGGAAATTACACTTAAACATCACTTCAGTCATTTTTGTATGTTTAAGAAATAATTCTGCTTAAAAATCAGTGACTAAACATCTATTTACATAAATAGATATAATATTTAAAATACATTTTGAACTTATGTATGTGTTAGGTGCATTAAGTCACCCTGTGCCCTGTAAGACAGTAAATAGTATGCTTCTACAATGAAATTGTATATGGATAAATTGAGCACATACTTTGAGAGCGATGGCCTCATTAGCACCATTTAAAACTGAGAAGACCTCTGCAAAAGTCCCCTCGCCAATCTTGAGACAATGTTTCATGCCAGCTGGAGGGACACATTCAAAAAAACGAAGTGGTCCGCTCTGCTGGCATTCCCGATATATTCTATCAGCAATGCTGATATGCTCATCACATGAAGTCTGGAACACAAAGGCAGAGTAAAAAAAAAAAAAAAAAATGGGAGAAAAGAGACATCATGGAATAAAGAGACTTATTAATTTTCTGAGAAAGTAACAAAAACAATCATTAAAATTTATATTGTTGTATATATTGTAGACTGTACATTATTCTATTATACTTCTTACACTTAAAGGATTAGTTCACTTCAAAATGAAAATTCTGCCATCATTTACTCACCCTCAAGTTGTTTCAAACTTATGAATTTCTTTCTTCTGTTGAAATCAAAAGAAGATATTTTGAAGAACGTCGGTAACCAGACAGTTGATGGACCCCATTGACTTCCATAGGAAAAAAAAAAAATACAATGGAGGTCAATGGGGCCTAGGGCTGTGTATTGGCAAGAATTTGGCGATACGATATGCATCATGGGTCACGATTCAATATATTGCGATATATTTCGATACTGTCCATAAGGCGATATATTGGGATTATTTTTTTTAAGTAGGACTATAATTTTAGAAAAAGCCATAAAAAGAGCCAAAAAGCCATTGGTTAAATGTGTTTTTAGAAGTTGGTTATAAACTTAAAAATAGACAGGGGGGGTGGGGAGGTCGCACACCAGACGAGAAGCGCAGCGCTGCAGCGGCTGCACCACGCAGGATAACTCCAGGTAGGCTATCCCACACCGGACGTGCACTTTCTCATCAGTGTATGGCCAGCAATATTGTTATGTTTAATGACATGAAATGAAGGTAATGTCTGTTCTATGTTATGATTGTACTGCACAATAAAATACAATCGTTGTTTAGTCTGCAGTCTTAACCTCAGAGCATCCGTTCACTGAATGAATTGAGAATCTTAGCTGAAAATCCAATAACATCAGCAATTGTCATTCAAGCAGCTGATTTCTGTAAATGGATGCAAAACTAAATGCATATTGCAGGATAGGGCGAAGTCAGGAGACATTAGCAACGATTTGAGCCAAAAAATAATTTAAATTTTATATAAAACTATGTAAATGGCGCTCTGTGGCGCAGCAGGATTTTGAACACGGCCCTGAGCCGTTGCTGGGCGCCGCGGACAGACGCCGAATGGCGCCGCCGGTGTACACTCATAGAGAATAATGTGTTCGAATTTTAAAGATGTGGTGCTGAGCTTCTCGTCTGGTGTGCGACGCCCTTATATACTCTCCGCCGAAACCCCCGTTTCACTGTTGCTCACGCGACGGTCCTGCTCGAGCTTCGACGGGCACGGCTACTGCTTGCGGTGTGAATGAACGCACTCATTGATTAACATGCCGAAAAGAATAGAGCAGGAGCCGGGTCTTGACACTGGGTTCAGCCATAGCCATGTTGTTTCTAGCAAAACGTTAGGCTAGTGGTGCGTCTGGTGCGTCTTTTGTGTGCATAGCCACAAAAAAAAAAAAAAAAAAAAAACGATATTGTGTTTCTGAAAATCGATACAGTATTGCACAATAAAATATCGCGATACTCAAGAGTATCAATTTTTTCTTACACCCCTAATGGGGCCCATCAACAGTTTGGTTACCGACATTCTTCAAAATATCTTCTTTTGTGTTCAACAGAAGAAAGAAATTCATAAGATGGAAACAACTGAGGGTGAGTAAATGACAGAATTTTCATTTTGAAGTGAACTAATCCTTTAACATACACAAGCATGCAGTTACATTAACAAAATCCATTCTGTGTGTGTAAATGTATATACATCACAGACAAACAATTAGAAAAATTAAACAAAGTCTTTTGAACCTTTTTTGCGTATGGAAGCTTGTTTCTGCCACAGAATAAAGAAAAAATTAAAAAGGTAACTGACTTTTTCTCTCACAAATCTGACTTTCTTAGAATTGCAAGATTATCTCAAAATTAGGAAGGGGAAAAAAATCTTCTGACAATACATCAACATTTTCTCATGTTACACACACACAAAAAAAAAAACAATAACAATAATAAATACTGTTACTTACAATTTCCATAGTTTGGCTGGGTTGTGCTGGACTTTCGCAAACAGTCAAGGAAAGGGGATCTTCTAACCCATTATTGGAACTACAGAGATAGAAAGTATTTCACTGATACGGAAACAAACAACAGTTACGACATTCTGATTTTTTTTTACAAAACATATAATAAAAATTACACAGCAAATTCATCAGCAGATGTTTTTGCATGGCCTTTCTTCATCGGGACTTCAAAGGACTCATCATCATTTTCATCGCTGTTGCGGAGTATTAATTGATATATTTTAGCATAAATCACCAATAGTTTTTTTTTCTCCTCTCTCTGTAAATTAGCAGCCATTACTCACCTCTCATTTAGGTTCTCTGCTGAGGATTCTCGGTGTTCTGGGGCTCGTTCTTCGTACATTGCTTAAAACATCCGAGATCAAATGAGACATCCAAGATAATATCATCGTGCTAATCATGATCCAGCTAATTGGGTTCTTCGAACACACCTGTTGTTTATTATTAGTATCGCTAGATTGAGTTATCTGAGATAACTGCGCGTTCTCGCGTTGGTTTAAAAGGTGACATGTATCGATAGCAGAACCAGTGATCAGCAGCGCTGCTATTGGCTGTTCAGCATGGCCAAAGAACACGCCCAGTTTTTCTCCAAGCAGAGCAAGCGCTTTTAATGCAAGGTTATGCCGAATTTCAGTCTTTAATTAAAACGCCAGGAACACCTCAAAGTGTGCAAAAGCCAGGAGAGAGTGCTGGCAAAACTAGAAGACAAGTTAAATGCGTTTGTGGTGGCCATGTTAAATGTTTTAATAACTTATTATTATTTTATTTTTATTTTCATAATTTCATAATTACTTTGTTCATTGTAATGTCGAGTCACCACACTATAATAATGGACATGGTGAAAGTTAAGTACAAAAATATTCTACTTAATGGTAATTTTACTAGACCTTATAGGCCTACTAGTCTCTTTTAAAAAGGCACTGTTAAATAAATGATTGTCTGTTTATAAAAGCAACCAGAAAAAAGGCTGAGAAAAAAAAATAATGATGCTCCTGACCCTGGCAGAAGAGCTGGCCCTTGGGTTGAATGTGAATTGCCCTGTTGTGAAGGGCATCCCTGGGTTCAGCTCTTCCAGACTCACATCAGGGACCAGTAGCAGCAACACCTACATCACTGGGAAATTAGATTTACATTATCTTTGTACACTGTGAAATAATTTGTTGCTGCATTAAATGAAGTAGACCTATAATCCAAATGTCTGGTTTAGTCATTTCAACTGTTAAATCTTGAGTAATGATAAATTGCTTTGTCTTGTGAAAGTAAAAACTGATAAACTTATGTTAATGTAAAAATATTTTGCCATGAGTTATCAATCACATTGCACTGGAGAGTGAAGAAAACTTCTCAGATGACTGTCCTTTGGAGGAAGTACTTTAATTTAATTGATGGCTTTAATTGATTTCTACTTGTGCCTATGCCTATTATTTCTGACAAGAGTCCACATGTACAGAAAGGCCTACAGAAGAGTCTGCACACAGCAGTGATACAGGGGTGGGCAGTGTAGACAACTTTTGCTTTTTATTTGTTGCATTTTTTCCCTTTATGAGTCTTCAACAGAAAATAGAGTATTTTGAAAAAACAAAAATCAGGGGGAGAAACAGAACTTGACTAAGAAAAAATTGCACTAGAAATAGAGTTGCTTCAAAATAAACTTCAGAGTAAAATCACACAGAGTACTATTGCAATAAAAACTAAAGAACTATTGAAATAAAACTCTAAGCAAATAGAGTTTTGCAAATTTGTCTTGTCTTTTATTTTAGGCTTAATTAAACTTTTTCTTTTCTTTTTCTGATGTTGGCAGTGTTGTGTAATATGGCACATGCAATGTCACAGGCCCTGTCAGGTGCAACCCTCAGGCTTTTTAGACCCTGAAATCTTCCCTTTATTGGCCAAAGCTCATGTCATTGTGTGCCCTTGTCCTAGAGCTGCATTGTAACTGGTCTGGGGTTTGGGTCAGGGAATGGGGTCATAAAACACCTGTCTCCATGCAGGATCCTGTTGTAATCACCTGTTTAATGGAAAAATGCAGTTCTCAGCATAAGTGTATGTAATACCGTGAGTTTGATATTTATAATTTTCCTTACCATGTTCAAATAATGTTCATAAATGTGAATCTCTTAAAATTCTTGAGTCATGCACAGATCCTGGCCATTTTGCTTTACACTGATTTGTGATATAGAACATGGTCACACACCATCTAAGAGATTTTACTCAGTCAAATGCCTTTTAAAAAAAGTGATATAATATTCCAAATCTGGAATATTAAAAATTATAATAGTAATTTGGCTGCACTGTATAAGCCCCCTTTCTGCTCACAAAATCCCTTTATTGAGGCCTTGATGGGAACATGTGTGTAGTCTACAGTGTATGGCACCAATCACGTAAGTTAAGCCTGAGGGACTGTAAGTCATAATCGGCATGGTCATCATGATTGCATTATCTTCATTAAAAATTATAATATACCCTAAGTTGGCAAAAAAAAAAAAAAACTAAGAGCACTACTTTGTGAATGGCACGACAGAAAGCTTATCAAGTTCTCCGCATCTCCAAATAATTTTAGGGCAATGCAAACATTTTGTGCTGTTGTTGAAGCCCGATATCAAATCGAACATTAATGTGCATTTCCAACAAAATAATAATGTATTTAAACGACACCCTCACGACGATCGTTTCACGAGAAAACAAAAATAAATCTCAGAAATTAAGCTACACTATCGCGCTGCGCTGAAGGACTTTCCGTATCAGCCGCGATCTAATCCTGTTTACATGAAATAAGCCTGCTCGCGAGCAGGTTCAAGCTGACGGACCTGTTGCTATGACAGCAAGTCCAGGATGAGTGTCGAAGAACCAAACGATCCAAGATCATGGCAAATCGCCAACAATCAAATCCAGCTGAGTTAGCGACGTACGAAGAACGAGCCCCAGGACCCTAAACTGGAGGGTCCTGTTAGCTACTTATGTTATCCTAAGTTAGCTACTTGTCAAATACATGACCATGATTTATTTTTGAAATTGTTTAATAATATTTTATTTTGCTTCAAGAAAGTCTTCAACATTTTGCCCTAAACTGTAAGGACAAGTTTTCACTTTATTTCTTTTTTTTTTCTTTACAGTCTTTGCTTGATTACTCAGACAGTGAAGACGACATTTTGTGTCCTAAAATGATGATGACATCTTATAAACGGGTATTTATTTTTCAATGCTACTACCATTTCTCTTTAATTGCCTCATACTTCAAAAGCATTTTTTTTGTAAAGCCTGTTTGCCTGTTTTGTCTTTCTTAGATGAGACCTGCAACTCATGAGGACTCTGATAATTACTCTGATAATTCCAGTGTAGATGAGAGTACAGACATTCAAGGTGACATCAGACTGAAACATACACCGTTTGCAACGAGTGAACAACGTTCCACTTGTACCACAACAATCAAAAGAGCAAAAAACACCATAGTAAGTGTTTATTTTATTATTTATTTATTATTCTATGACAGAGGATTAACTGAACTGGATGGTTATTGTCTTTCAAGGCTAGAAGGAAGATTGCTGAGCACTCAGATGTTTTTGATTCGAGCGAAGATTTATCTGAAGTCAGTGAGGAAGAGTACATTCCGGACACATCACAAGAAAGTAGCGATACAGATAGTAGCGCAAGCCTTACTGTTTCACTGAAAGGTAAAAGAAAGCTCCACACTTTGCCAGTCCAGTGCACTTCAGCTGAGAACAGAAGCACCAACTACAATCCTCAAAGCAGCTGTGACTTAGGGAGCCTCCAGAGCCATGGCGCAACCTCAGTTCCTGACAGTACAAGTTCAGTGTTTATTCCAGCTATCCTTAAAAAGAGGGATGGACTGAGAATGTATAGTAAGAGACAACATTGCTTTTTTTGTGACCGTCCTTTTACGAAAATCGCTAGACACCTAGAGCGCAAGCATATGAATGAAATAGAGGTAGCAAAGGCTCTAAGTCATCCAAAGGGCTCCAAAGAAAGGCGAATGCAGCTTGAGTATTTGCGCAACAAAGGCAACTTTGCTTACAATTCTACTGTTATTAACACAGGCTCAGGACAGATGATTCCACGGAAACTGCCTAAAAAGAAATTTTTGCATTGCATTTACTGCCAAGGACTGTTCTTAAAGAAAACCCTGTGGCGACATTTTAAAATTTGCAAATTCAAGCCTTCTGAGGTGAAACCAAAACCTGGTAAAACCCGTGTGCAGGCTCTTTGCAGCTTTGCACAGCCTCCCCCACCAGGAGTAAATCATGGTGTTTGGAAGCTGCTAAATGCCATGAATCAAGACCAAGTGGCACTTAAAGCTAGAAATGACTGGTGCATATTAGAGCTGGGGAAGCATCTTTACAATAAATACGGATCAAGAGTTAAAATGCATGAATACATCCGTCAAAAGATGAGAGAGCTTGGAAGACTCCTTATGTACTAGAGAGGTAACACCCCTTACATCTATCAAAGAGCTCATCCATCCCACAAACTTTATGCATGCCGTTAGTGCAGTAAAAAGAACAGCTGGATACATTGAAGAGACCAATGTATATGAGAAGGCAAGTGTTGCTGTGAAACTTGGGCATAGTCTGAACAAAATCGCAATGCTTATTGAGAGCCATTCTACCATCAATGGAGACAAAGAAAGTGCAGAATTTGCAAATAGCTTCCAACAACTGTATCGAACCCGATGGCCTGAGTACATCTCTTCAACAGCGCGGCGAACAATGGAAGAAGCCAAGTGGAACTGCCCACATTTGCTCCCATTCACTGAAGATGTTAAACGTCTCCATGTTTATCTTGATGAGCAAGAGAAAATTTACCACAAACTTTTGTCTACACAGCCATCATCTCAGCATTGGTCAAAATTGGCCAAGGTTATATTGACTCAGGTTATGCTTTTTAATCGTAGGCGAGAAGGGGAAGTGTCACAGATGCCATTGTCCGCATACACCTCCAGCAACCAATCAGAAGCTCATATTAGCATGGCCCTCAATACTGTCAATACTTCAAGCGTATAGAGATCAGAGGCAAAAGAGGAAGAAAGGTTCCAGTGCTTGTTACTCCTTCAATGCAAGAGTCAATCAGCCTGCTAATTAAAAACCGGAGCAAGTGTGGAGTACTGAATGAGAACCCTTTTCTCTTCGCACGTCCGTCTGCAATGACCTTTTTCAGAGGCTCTGACTGCATCCGTGAATTTGCAGGTGCATGCAATGCTAAGAATCCTCAAACTCTAACTTCCACCAAGTTGAGGAAACAGATTGGTACCCTCTCTGATGTTTTAAATTTGAGTAACACTGAGCTCGATCAGCTGGCTGACTTCTTAGGCCATGATATTAGGATACATCGTCAGTTTTACCGCTTACCTGAGGGGACACTTCAGCTGGCCAAAAT